AAAAAAAAAAAAAAAAGTTGCCAGGCACGCTGGCTCATGCCTATAATCCCAGCACTCAGGATGCTGAACCGGGAGGATCACAAGGAGTTGGAGGCCAGCCTAGCTACACAGCAAACTCAAGGCCAAAAAGAACTACACAGTGAGACCCTGTCTCAATAGTAATAATAAAAAAAATTAACTGCATAAGAAGACCAATGTGAAAAGAAGGAAAATGTGGAAATAAAACTTGTAAATGGGGAGGGGAGAAGGGCTTGCAGGGAAGTTAGGGAGATGGGGTGGGGGAGTTACAGGTACAAATTCCCTCTTACGAATATAATCATTTTGTAGATCTAATATGTACCAATAAAATCTAACTTGGGGAGAAAAAGACTCATGCATAACGATCCTTCAAGAGGGACTGCAGAAGACATTGTTATGCTAGGAGAGGGGCAGCTCCTGGTGTTACTGACCCTGACCATCTTCCGGCAAGACAAGTTGTAAAGGTAAAGACACTGATGAAGATACACTGCTGATTTTCACCTTGTGCAGGTCTAGCTTAAGGTGCATGTTTATATTTAGCTTACATATTTTTGTATAAATATAATCTATAATGTTTGTAGAACAATAAAATTACCTAACAATACCTTTCAGACCATTTCCCAGTAATTAATCAATATCCAGCTATACTTTCATATAACAGTGTTAATGTATCAAAATAAAAAAAACTTTTCATTATTATTGATGGCAGTTAAATTATGATACAACCTACTTTCAAATGAGTCATCAAGAAAAGTATCTTTCAGGCCAGGGAGATAGCTCAGTAGAATAAGTGCTTGCCTGGCAAGTGCAGGGTTCTAAATTCAATCCTCAGTATCAGAAAAAAAAAAAAAGAAAAGAAAAAGAAAAATATCTTTCAAAAAGAAAACGCATCAGTTCTTCACATTCCAACATTTTAATATTTGCTTTTTTTTTCTTTTGTTTTTTCATTTATGTATAGAGATACAGCCCAATATTTGCTTTTATATAATGCTGACTATACCTAAAAGTAGAGATTGGGAGATACTGTATAATCTAAGTGTCTATAGTCTGGGATATAGAATATAAAAGTGATACTTCCTCACCTGAGTTTTGGAAAAGCTCACGGGTCTCACTATACAGCTCAGACTCATAGTGATCCTCTTGTTTTCAGCCTCCCCAGCACTGGGGGTACAGGTGTGCACAACCATACTAGGACTAGTCTGCTGGCTCAGTGCGCCCCGGGTGTGGGGCCAGCGTAGTATGTGGGACTGGAGATCAAACCCTGGTCCCTGCACTTGCCAAAGCAGGCACTTAGTCTGCTGAGCTATCTCACCAGTCCAATATTTGTTTTTATATAATGCTGAATATTGTTTTGATACTTACCCTACTTAGTTCTTCCTCAAGAACGCCAATTTTTTCAATCAATTCCACAATTTGCTCTTCTTGAGTAGTCAATTTTCCACTCATGGTTCTAAAATAGTTTAACAGTTAACATTTTTTTCTAAATCCCAGAAAACATCAGAATATTCTATAGTGCAATTATGATAGTTTCCTCCATTTATCACTATCATGACACTTTAGTATTGGTAAGCAATAAATGCAAACTACAAAGAATTTTCACCTTTGTCTTAAATGGCATTTTTTTTTTTTTTAAACCTCCATTCTGAAACTCAAATCTTTCTTTCTGAAGGGGAAAACATGTGAATGTGTTATCAAATTTGAGTAGGTGAAAAGTCAATGCAGGACTGTAACTAAAAGTAGAGATTGGGAGATAGTGTATAATCTGAGTGTCTATACTCTGGGATATAGAATATAAAAGTGATACTTCTTCACCCGAGTTTTGGAAAAGCTTGAGACTTGCAGGCATGAAGCATGACAAAAACGGGGTGAGATTAGAGACTAAAAATATCTAGAAGACTTAAAAGTTATGTATAGAGCAATACCAGCCCAACACAAAATCACTATGACAATACCACATTAACATTCAGCATTAATCTCTAGAGCAATTTCTCAGCCTTAGCACCACTAACATTTTGTACCAGATAACTGTTGTAAAAGCCAGGCATGGTGGCTCAGTTCTGTAATCCCAGCACTCAACAGGCTGAGGCAAGAGGATCATTGCGAGTTCAAGACCAGCCTGGGCTATAAAGTGAGCTCAAGGGCAGCCTGAACTGCATAGTGAGACCATTTCTCAAAAAGGCAAAGAAAAAAAAATTCCCACAAAAAAACCCCTCCATTGTAGGGAGATCCTGTGCATTTTAGGATGTTAAGTAACATCCCAATCTGTCCACTAGATGCCAGAAGCACACTCCAACCCTTGCCACTGTATGCAATGTCTCAGCAAAGCAGGGTGACTTATGCTTATAACCAAAGCATTTGGGAGCCTGAGGCAAGACCATCGCAGGCTCAGTTCAAACCTGGATAATTTAGTGAGACCATGTCTCAAGAAAGAAAGAAACCTAAATAAAATACTAAGATGTAGCCAATGCTAAGAACCTAGTTCAATTTTCAGTACTACTAAATAAATAAATAATAACAAAATTCTCTGGATATCACTGAATATCCCCTAGGGGGCAACATTTCTCCCCTTCCTTGATAGCCACTGAGCACAGTAACTACATAAGAACTGGCTTCTTTTGGAACACAATGGAGAGTTGGAAGTAAGGTAGGGGTACTGAATGTAGGGAACATCAGCCCTTATGATCACTAATTAAAGGTGAGTTTTCACAGGAAAACCCAAAAAGGTAATGCCCCAAAGAAAAAATTTCAACTTAGGAAAGAAACCTTTACAACCCACAAATTCACAGCCTTATCCACATAAAAAGTTGTTTCCCAAAATTTGTTTGATACTTATTTATTCTTTTGGGGGGGATAAGACAGGGTCTCACTATGTATCCCTGGTTGGTTTCAAACTCATGGAGATCCTCCCAAGTGCTGGGTAATCACTATTTAATATCAAAATAAGAAAAGCATTTAGAAGGATGCTATATAAGTAAATTCAACTTCAAACACATGTTATTAGAAAATGCTTATATTTGGAAATTAACTCTATAGACAAAGGTTTACCTAAAATTTTCTTCAGAAATGTACACTCCATTTTTCTCACGGGCAGCAGCAAGGTCACGTTTCAGGCGCTCTATCTCTTCTGTGTACTCCTACATAACAGGCATGATGTAGGCCTCAACTTAGTACTTTTTTTAAAATACAGGTTGGGGAGTATATGCAACAAATAAAATATTCAAAGTGTGACAGAAAGTTATAACTATACTTTTTAATCAAAACTAATTCGTTTGGAAGCAGCCTTTCAATGTCCTTCAAAGCTATTCATTACATGTAAAGCTTCCTTTTAAGGGCTAGACACAGAGCTCAGTGATGGAGCACTTTTCTAACAAGAGGAACCATGAAGTCCTGGATTTTGTCTCCAGCAGTGCAGTAGTAAGGACAAAAAACTTTTGTCAGGCCCAGTTACTGGAAAGATAATACCATCAAAATAATAACAAGAAAATGCCTAACATAGAAAATCTAACAAATATTGCTTAACAATTGTATATTTCTGGTCTTTTATTTTCACATTTGTCAAACAAGATCATATTAATCCACAAAAATTCATGATTACCTTAATAAGAGCTTTTTTAGTGAGTTTCTGATTAACTTCAGGTTTATTCAATATGTTCTTTGCTCTATGAGCATATTCCAATGTACTCAGAGTTTCCTGTCATGAAAACAAAAGTTAATTACTTAAGCGCTTGTGAGAATAATGTAGCTTTATCATCTACAACGTATGATATAACTAATTAATGTATGGTTATATGTAATCCAAAATGTATTCATTAAAAATACTATACGTAGTTTGGCCTGTAACCCCAGCACTGGAGGAGACTGATGCAAGAGGATTCTAAGTTCTAGTCCCGCAGATCAGCAAGACCCTGTTTTCAAGTAAAAAATTAAAAAAACAAAATAAAACACTGGAGGTATAAAAAGCCCTACATTCAATCTCCAGGAACACACACACAAACACATGACTATTATACCTTACCCTTTTTTTTAAAGAGAAAAAAAAAACCAACCAGAAACAAATAAAAGCACAAAGACAGAAACACTGCTTAGAAAAAAAAACATAAACAAAAAAACCAAAACAAAACAATGCTTAGGCAAGTGCTAGAGATGGTACCACCATGCTGTGCCAGCCCACCCCTCAGGCGTGCTGAGCAGGCCACCAAGTCCAGGTGTGGTGGTGCACACCCATAATCCCAGTACTGTAAAGGCTGAAAACAGGAGGATCATCTTAATGATCCAAGCTGTGTAATGAGACCCTGTACCAAATACATTAAAAAAAAAAAAGATAAAAACAAAGCAAATAAAATAAAAATGGTACAGCATCTCAAAACAGGAATAGGAAATTAACAACTGTTATTTTTTTTGTCTTTTTGAGAATCTTACTATGCAGTTCAGCCTGGCTCACTTGAGCTCACTTTGTGCCCTAGGCTGGTCTCGAATCTGCAACAATACTCTTGCCTCAGCCTCTGAATGCTGGGATTACAGGCATGCGCCATCACACCTGGCTTCTTCCTTTCAGTAAGTTTGGAAACAAACAAACATTAAATAAATAAACAAGGTGAAAGGAATTCAACAATGATTGTTGTATTGCACACTGCTATCTTTAATGTAGTTCCTCAGATTACATATTAGTATATAAAATTGGTAAAAATAAAAACTTTAAACATAACTGCTATCTTCAAAAAATTGATAGAAATTAGTAGTACAATCGTATTAGCTTTTCTGCGTATATACTTACATGATTTTTTCAAATTCTTTTTTTTCTTATTTTTTCCCTTTCCCTCATATCTCAACTGTTTATTCGTCATGTGCAGTTTCTTTCCCTTTCACTGTATCTACTGTACCTCTCAAGAGTTTATATTTAGTCTTTCAAGTTTTTCCACTAGGAAAACATTATGATGCTTACACATGTGGATCTGATTTATTTCACTTACGCGTATAGCCTCTAGATACATCCATTTACCTATAAAAGCCTCAATTTATCTTTTTTTTTTTTTTCCGGTGGAACTGGGGATTGAACCCAGGCCCTTGCACTTGCCAGGAAAGCGCTTATTCCCCTGAGCCATCTCCCCGGCCCTCAATTTTTTTGTAGCTGAGCAATACTCCATTGTGTAAAACTACATCTTTTTTATTCATTCCTCAGGTTTTTATCTTTTTTTTTTTAATGTATTTGGTACAGGGTCTCATTACACAGCTTGGATCATTAAGATGATCCTCCTGTTTTCAGCCTTTACAGTACTGGGATTATGGGTGTGCACCACCACACCTGGACTTGGTGGCCCGCTCAGCACGCCTGAGGGGTGGGCTGCCACAGCATGGTGGTACCATCCCTAGCACTTGCCTAAGCATCTTGGGCATTTGGGTTGTTTCCAAGATTTAACTGTGACAAATTGCACTACTGTAGACATAAATGAACATATATCACTGTAGTCTGGTGTTTTTAGTTCTTTTGGAGTGCCTGGGTTGAATGGGCTTCTAATTCTAGTTTTTTGAGGAATCTCCACACTGATTTCCATAGTGGTTGTACCAGTCTACATTCCCACCAACTGTGGAGAAGGGTTCCTTTTCCCTCACAGCTTCTCCAGCATTTGTTATAAGATTTCTTTATGATAAGCCATTCTTTCTGGAGTGAGATGTTATCTCAGTGTTGTTTTAACCAGTACTGTGCAACATTTCTTCATGTATATATTTGCCATTTGTATTTCTCCCTCTGAGAAGTATACATTCATCTGAGATGCCCATTTCTGGACTGAGTCTTTGAATTTTGGGGGCCTGAATTTTTGTTCTTTATATGTTCTGGCTAGAAGTCCTTTGTCTGAATGACTGTTAAGATTTTTCCCAATTCGTGGGTTACCTTTTCACTCTGTTGGTGATTTCTTTGAACATGCAGAAACTTTTCCCTTATTAGGATCCCAATTGTTGATTATTTTAAGTATTTCTTTTTTTTACTTTATTTTATTTATTTATTGGCGGAACCGGGGATTGAACTCAGGCCCTTGTGTTTGCCAGGGAAGCAGTTGTTCCACTGAGCCATCTCCCTGGCCCCTATTTTAAGTATTTCTTATGCAGTCTGTTTTTTAATTCATTAACTGTCTGCCTACACCTATGTCTTCAAGATTTCCACCTACTTTCTCTTCTAGTAGATTTGGTGTTTCTTTTTTTTTTTTCTTAATTTTATTTATTTGTGTGTATGTGTGTGTGTGTGTGTGTGTGTGTGTGGCGCCAGCTCAGCCCACCAGGGGGTGGGGCTGGCTGGCATGTGGTGCTGGGGATTGAACCACGGTCCCTGTGCTTTGCTAAACTTGTTCTAAGTAAGTGCTTTAGAACCACTGAGCCATCTCACCAGCCCCTGGTGTTTCTATTTTAATGTTTAGATCTTTAATTCATTATAACTTTAGTTTAGTGTATGGCGATACACCTGGAATTAGTTTTAGGCATGTGGAAAGTCAGTTTTTCCACCACCATTTATTAAAAAGGCTGTCTTTCTTCTAGTGAACATGTTTGGCCCCTTTGTCAAAGAAAAGGTTGCTGAGTGTGTTTGTAGTTGTGTCTGCATCTTCTAATCTGTTCCACTAATCCTCACGGCTCTTATTTTTTTCCATTTCCTTTTTTTAACAACTTCCTTTTTATCCCTTTTATTCTTTCTCTTCAATTTTGTCCTTATGATATTTTGATCCAATCATTTTTACCTTTTGATTAGTCTTAAATTTAATGATTTAACAAATGAAACAAATCCATATAATGATGTGGATGAAACTTGACAACACATGCTAAATGAAAGAATCCAGTCATAAAAACACATATAACTGGAATATTGTAGAACTCTATTTATATGAAATGTCCAGAAAGGCAAATAAACAGATACAAAAAGCAGTTATGGAGTTGGGTGTTGTGGCACAGACCTGTCTTTCCAGCAACGCAGAAGGCTGAAAAGGAGGACTGTAAGCTCATGGCCAGAAGGGTCAAACTGGTAATATCCTGTCTTAAATAGAGTTTGAACACGAGCTGATCATATAGCTCAGTAATAAACCAACTACGCAGCAGGCAAGAGGGTCTCTGTTCAATCCTCTACGTTCCCTCCATCCTCCAAAAGTAGTAGTTAGTACTGAGAGTGGAAGAAATAAAAAATGTTTACTGGTAATAATTTTTTTTTTTTCTTAAAAGATGGTCTCACTATGTAGTTCAGGCTGCCTTTGGACTCACTATGTAGCACAGGCTGGCTTTGAACTCACAGCAGTCATCCTGCCTCAGCTCCCTGAGTGCTGGGATGACTGGCATGTGCCACCACACGTGGCCAAGAAAAATCTTTTAAATTTAAGATTAGTGATGTTTGTATAACTCTGAATATACTAAAAGCATTAAATTAACATATTTTACATGAATATATTTTACAGCAAAGGAATTCTATCTCAGTAAGTAATATTTTAAAGGAAAGAGTTAGAACCTAAAATATTTTCTAATTCCATTTAAAGCAGATGATTACAATAAGAGATTTATCATCATGCTGGATCTCTATATTTTCCCCTCTATTTCCACATATTCAACCTCAATTTCAGAGCTATCTAAGCAGGCTCCACCTGACCCACTCTAGTCCTCAATGAAATTCCCACAAATTAGCCACTGCTAATGATTCAAAGTAATTTTCTTGGAAGACAATACAGAAAAATCATTAATTATAAACTGCTTTTTGTAGCAGTACTCTGCAAGATACGTCCGTATATAGTGTCCAGTTTCTTTTATATTGCAATATAAAATGAACAGAGCCAATAAATAAACTTTTAAGTATGTTATAGCTAAATAAGAATTATAGCTCCTACACTTGCAGTTTCTTTTCAAAGGGCTTACCTCAAGATTGAGAGATGCAGGAGAAATTGTTGCAATGATAGACGTTCTGGTACGGCCCCCAAGAGAATCTTGGAGGATTCTAGTTAGTTTAGATTCCCGATAAGGAACATGAGGTGTTTTCTCTACAAGAGCAGTAATCACCCTTCCCAAAGTCAACAGAGATTGATTGATATTTCCAGCTTCCCGGGCTCTCTTGTCAACAGCTCCAGAACGGCCAATGTTTTCACTTCCTGCAAGATCAACCTTCAATTTTCAAAATAAAAAGTCAATCCACTGGATTTGGATTCAAAGATTTTCATCTCATATCACACATAATGTGCTAAATATCCAATAAAATTAATTTTCTGTAACAAATTTCTTTTCCCACTATGACATTAACAACAAATCCAAGTGACTACAAATACATCATCTACAAATACAAAACTGCAAGCTACTCTATGAGACCAACAAGAATTAAGCAGTGACAGTAAGGTACAGGCTTACCAAGTTCAACTTTCCAATTTTAACAAGTTCTTCTCCATCAATTGTAGTTTCTTTCATATGTATCGTAACAGAAAAAACTGAGTGGGAACGACTAGAAAACAAGATAAAGTTGCCCGTTCGTTAAGATGTAAAACATTTGCTTCCTACAAAGATACTCAAAACAGTAAAGAAAGAGTGAAATCTATAGGGCTCTGCAAACAATATTATTAAATAGGTGATATCCCTAAGATTAGGTGAAAGAATAATGCTTAGGTTTTTGCTGTCTTGTACATACTGCCTGTCAGGGACACTCTAGCAAGTTGCTTAGAAATACACTAAAAGACTTAAATCTTCACTTGGGAGGTTGAAACAGGAGAATCAAGTTTGACATCAGCCTAGGCTACAAAGTGAGTTCAAGGGCAGCCTGAACTACATAGCAAGAGCCTGTCTCAAAAAGAAAACAAAAGCCCCACCCCCACCCCAAAAAAAACCCTTAGATCTAGAATTTTTCAGTCGCCTCTGAAAACTGGATATAGGGCATGGTCATGACAGATGCCAGCTGTTTCAGAGACGAAGCTCCTAATCAGTTTCCCTATTCATAAGAACCACCTCTAATATTTATGTCATTATCATAAATTCAAATAGTAAATTCAAATAGTACTAGGCAAGGCAACAGACTACTCCCATATTGCGTCAACTCCTCTGCTTTGAGAAAGTCATCAGAAATAGGTAATTCCTCTTCCTCAATACAAAAACAGGGGGCTGGGGACATAGCACAGCACCTGCCTGGCAAGTACAAGGTCCTGAATTCCATTCCCAGTAAAAAAAAAAAAAAAAAAAAAAAAAAATCAACAGTAAAAATAGTAAATACCAGACTACTGAAAGAATTCCTGCTAGAATCTAAAGTGTTCCAAAGTGCCAAGTGTGGTGGTACATTGGAGCATTTCCTCAGCGCCATCGTAGGGCCCTGGGGCTAATCCTACTAGCTAACATACACAATATACACACAACCTATTTGAAAGTATGCCTTATTAAAATACTAACACTCAGATTTTACTTTGTCTTATAGAAAAAAATTAGATGTCCAAAGACACTTTTTTTTTTTGTATCAATGTCAATGGTAAAATTACGATTGTTACTGTTGTTGACAACTGGTTGAGAATATGGTAATTTTTTATTTTTTCCTTTGTATTTATCATGTTATTTAAACAGTTTTTTTTTTAATTTTATTTATTTATTTATT